CATAAGAGATGAATGCAATGTTTGATACCACTGACGTTGTCCATATGCGGTAATTTAATTTTGGATTTGCATATTTTCATGGATACATGAACAACTTTACTTTTTTTTTTGGTATGTATACATGAACAACGTTCTATATTTTGAATGTTGAAATATACCCTCAACTAATAGAACATAATAACACATACTGCTTATGTGGAAAAAGAGAAAAAAAAAAAGTATTAGAATATAATAACATGTATTGCTAAATGCTAATTAAAATTGTCACTAAGCCATTATTTGAGAGGGAAAAAATCGTTTACTCGTGAAAGATAATAAATAAATAAGAGTTGGGGAGTTTGCCTGCAGTTTGCAAATTGTAGTAGCAAACTTGAAATGCTATTACTTCAATAGGTGTCCCCTTGACATGTATTCAAAGGGAAACAATCTTCAAAATGAAAATAATTTTTTATATAAATAATGCAACCCTAATATTGCACAATAACACTACGGACACCGAAAAAGTTACACCGAATTTCTGTATCGGCCTACGTGTAACGCGCGTCTGAATTTTTTTATAATTTTTTTCTAGTGAACGGCCGTCCATAACATTTGAACGGCCGATCACTCAGGACGGGCGTCCATATACAAGGGACGGGCATCCCCATTTAAAGGACGCCCGTCCCTGATTAAAATACGATTAAAAAATTTGTAAAATATTAGGGACGACCGTCCATCCATTATGGACGGCCATCCATTAATTTTGGACGGGCGCCCACAAATAATGGATGCCCGTCCTTCACCCAAATATGAAAAAAAAAATTTATAAACATTTGGGATGACCGTCCATCTGTTATGGACGGTCGTCCATTACGTTTGCCGTCCAAACCCGTCCATACTTAAAAAAAAAAAAAAAAATTCTAAACATGGATACTGCTTCTTCTTCTTCCTTTCGGAAATGTTCCATTTTCTTTCTCTTGGAATAACGGTGCCATGCAGCTTGGATGAAGCATGCGACCATGTCCTCTACTGTTATGAGTAGAACCTGAAGGTGTGCTGAACTTGTCTACTGTGAAGGCGCCTGAATTGAGTGGCCGCAAATTTTAACTCTTCAGCGACAGAGCAAAAGCCTGAATCTCTCTCATAGCCTCCATCGTCCAGGTAGAGGATGGGAGGTTAATGCTAGATTTGGGTTCCAGTGCCCAGGTCAAAAGCTCCTCGCCATAGAAGTCTCCTTCTTTCAGAAAACAACACAAAAGAGAGAGCTTTATGAGCTTCTGTTTCTGAGGTGCAAGTGAAGGCCAAGGAAGATAGCGCTTCCAATGCTAATGATGATGATAATAATAATAATAATAATAATACTGTATTCTTGCCTTAATCAGTATTGAGTATAGAGATGTATAGGTCCATATGCATATCTGGATGCATTTACTTCAAAGTCTAATTAGTTAAAAGTCGTGGGCAGTTATTAGATGATCAGAGAAAAAGAAGAAGAAGAAGAAGAAGAAGAGAAGCCAAAGTGGAGAAGTTGAGCGGTTTTTTTTTTTTTTTTTTTTTTTAAAGTATGGACAGGTGAATGGACGCCTGTCCAAACATAAGGGACGGGTGTCCATTCATAAGGGACGGGTGTCCATTCATAATGGACGGCGGTCCATTATGAATGGACGCCCATCCAAACGTAATGGACGGCCGTCCATAACAGATGGGCGGTCGTCCCAAATGTTTATAAAAAATTTTTATTGTATTTTATTTATGGACGGGCGTCCTTTAAATGGGGATGCCCGTCACTTGTATATAGACGGGTGTCCATGTGAGTAAATGGTCGTCCAAATGTGATGGACGGCCGTTCACTAGAAAAAAAATTATAAAAAAATTCAGACGCATGTTACACGTAGGCCGGTACAGAAATTCGGTGTAACTTTTTCGGTGTCCGTAGTGTTATTGAATATTGCAATGCTATTACTTCAACAAAATTAGGTGTCCACATGAATACAGAAAATTGCATCATTCTACACAGACAGGAATACATTCTTTTTCTTTAAACTTGTTCATTGAAAATGATTTCAAACTTAATCAAATAAAACTTCAGAGACAACCCATTACCTAACCAAAAACTTAATGCAAATCCTAGAACTATTCAAACATCAAGTCTTTGTTTTTGTGACAATAACAAAGCAGAGTCATATTCAAGAATTGATGTCCGAACTAAACGAAATAAAAAGTAATACGACAACAAAATAAAGTAAACAAACAAACACAAACAGTAAAGAAAAAAAGTAATATGTGCGATTTTTTCTGGTTCACCCAATGTTGACTATATCCAACAGAGTCAATAATATTTCAATACAGCCTCACCTCTCTCATTTTATAATGAAGTTTCCTATCACTCATTACAAGAGAAAAATGTGTTTAAATACTAGATTTAAGAGACTAAACATAGTTTTACAAGGATTCTTATTCCTAAGCCCAAACCCAATAAGAAATTAATAACTTAAAGAAATCGGAACCTGACAAATCGATTCTAGTCCCGATTTTGGGTGCTCGAGTTAATTTCAATTATCCCATTTTAAAAAATAACAAATAAACTCTAAAAAAATTATAGATACACCCCCAATAGTTTACCCTTGTGAGGGTCAGTTCCGGGTAGGAACTGGAACTGGAACCCCAGGCCCACCATTCTTTTACACACCCCTAGGTGATATGAATTCTTGCAACCTCAATTCATATATCACCCTACTTCAACCAATTTCAACTCAACCTAAGCTAGACTTCACTTGAAACACCCTAGCACAATTCGGCTGACACTCTACAAGCACATACAACCATTATAACACCTTAGAACAACACCTTTTATCAAGCCTCAATCAACACAAACTCATTCCACTTTGAAATGCACAACACAAACTTGGAACACAACAAAATAAACCAACCCAAAAAAGTGAGATGAATGGTAACCAAGTGAGATTAACTTACAGGATAGATGACCAATGGATTAATCAAGCCTAAAGAAACTCCACCAGCTTGAAGGATTAATCCACCACCAAGTTTGGTCGAACTTGGGTAAAGGAACTCAAGAGAAAACAATTCTCCAAAGCAAAATACTATTCATGCAATATTCAATGTCTACTTCATATTATGATAAAGTGACCTTTAAATAGGCTTTAGAAAACATGGGAATTACTCTAACAAACATTACATGAATATTACAACAAAATATTACACAAAAAATATTAAGGGATAATTCCCTACCATACAATATCAAAAGTGCTAGCCATACCTATTTAATGTTATGGACAACTTTTCCTTAAATTAAGGATCTATGTCCCTAATTATAATTTTCTTGATTATACTTCAACATTTGAACCAAATAGCATCTACAACTTGGGCTTGGACCAATGAAGCTTCTTCTTACTTGATCTCCATGACTTGGGCTACAAAAAATAGCTTGTGCTATGTCTTGGACTCTTAACATCTCTTGGATAAGTTTGTGAGTTTCCTTGAGTGTTTGGGCCGAATGTTGTCTATCTTAGGGTCCTTGAATCTTCAATGAACTCTCTTGTATGTTTAAAGAATATGATGGGCTTGGATTCTCATCACTAGGTGACGATACTTAAATTGTTATTCTAAAGATATCATCAACTACTATGTTATTGTGATGGAAGAGATAATATATGTAGTTGAAGCAATGTAGTGGCATAATAAAATGTTACAGTTACACCATTATTCATTGATGACCTAATATTTGGTATCCATCACAGGTAAAGCATCTTATGGCATTTTAATAAAGCTGCCGAATTACAAAACCACAATTATACATCTAACCTCTTTAACTCAATGTTTCCCATATTATATATTTTATTTTATTTCAAAGGTACATTATTAACAATTGGGTTGACGAAGCAATAACATTTCCTTACCTCTTTTAAGAGTAATGTTATGTTTAGAATTGAGTCATATATCGATAAAAATAAAGACAAAGTAATGATTTTACATAAATTTTGTGTAATTTTTGTCTATTGTATGACTCATTGTAAGCAAAACATTATTACTCTTTAAATGTTTTGTTTAAAAGAGTAAATGACTTTTTCCTACCCAAATAATGGCTTAATAATACTTTCTCACCACATCTTTAATACCATTTTACTACCCAAATTTATATTCCGTTTCTGATTCCGGTATCGTTGTGACCCCACACCCACATTCTCTTTTCGATTATCATTCATCAAAACCCCTCAACCCTATCTCATAGATCCTGCCGACACTGATTAAGGTTTGCGTAGTGTCCCTCTCAAGTCAAATTTTAATTAATTCCATCACACAAATCCAACATTCTACCACTAAAAGACTCATCGCCCTACCCTCTTAAAAATCCCAACAGACTGGACTATGTTTGCTTTATGTTCGTTCAAATATAAATTTGGATAATAAAATGGTATTTTAAAAGTCGTTGTATATGATTATCATTAACCATTATTTGGGTGGAAAAAAATCATTAACTTTGTTTAAAATGACAGTGATATGCACCAACATCACCATTTCACTATGTCCCATTGTTTTTTAATAATATCCCATTTGATTCCCCCACTCTGTTTCCTGTCCTATCTACATGCACCATAGATTTGGTATTAATGCACACCCACCCTAACAAAATCACCCGCGTGCTTCAACCCAAACACCTGCAAATGCGGATAATACATCAGCCCAACTCCAAACTGCCCTCTATTTTTACCGTTGTTAACGAATATCTATGGGTATTTCTGTAATCTCACCTCCTCCTTCTCCACTTCCAATCCAATGGGCATTTCATCAATACAAGCTTGCTGCAAGTATCCCCTACTTCCATGGACATGCAACAGGACATCCCAAAAATCACCAAATTGTCCCCAACCCCACAGCCAAGTATATGAGTTCAGAATGAGACTAGAAATAGCAGTGGCATAATGTTCATCAACATAAGCAGTAGATCTGCAGTTACAGCCCAACAAATAAACTCTCAATTTTAATCTCAACGAAGTAAAGCCGCCCCCTAGTTTCATTGACCAAACAACTAATCAACTTTCTCCCCGTGATCTCGTCCACACCGAATAACGTCCACTCTTTTGCCTCCAAAATCTGATCAAATTACCTAACCCGATTCCATACAGAAACAAACGACCAAAACAAAAACAAAACCAAAAACCAGTTGAGTGACTTGATTCTCAATCTTGGGTTGGTCAAAATAACATAAAAAAAGAAGAAGCAAAAACGTGTTTCTAATAAACAACAATAAAGAGAAGATTCTCATTTCATGCTTTCCCATTTCACGTTTCTTTGTGGGTCTCTTCGGTTTCTTTTTATATTTGATCAAAACCGCGGTGTTCCTTAACGATTATTCTAAGAAAGTGAGCTTCGGAGAATTGCTTCTAACTCGCAGTCTGTCTCTATTCTTTCTTCAGAAGCATACAGCCAATTCAACTCGGCTAAGTTATTGCATCGATATATTTACATTTGGTTAGGCTCCTTCATTAGGGTTTAACAATGGAGAACAAACAGGGAATACGAACAAAAATGTTTGACAATTTTTCTTCTGGATCTGGAAAATTCTTGCGACCCATTCGTCATCTTCTATCAAAAAGGTGAGATTAGATGAGTATGAGGATATCGAATTAGTGTTTTCTTCTTCTTCTTCTTTTTTTTTTTTTTTTTTTGGTGAATAATGAGGATTACTCTAGGTTTGTGCTTGGAGAATGTGACAAATAGTTATGATCTAAGTAAATGCGAATATGGAATTTTATAAAATTCTTACTGTTTTTGAGAATTGAATTGACATATTCTTTCTGGGTTTGTGAATATTTATTTTTTCTATTATTTTTTTCTTCTGTTATAAGCCTAGTATAAGGAATAAAGTAGCTTAAAATATAGGGGCTTGTAAAGCTTTCAGTTTTACTTCCTTTAATGAATTTGAGTTAATTCGAGACAACAGAGGAAGAATTTTCATGATGGGCTTCTATATCTTTGGCCTGATTTTGATTCTTTTCATAAACGTTTGTGCTTCGTGATGACTCTTAGCTTCTCTAAAATGTTTAAGGCTCTGCTTAGAGATCCAAACTGCATTAGAAAAATGTGTGTATCACCGAACAAAATGGGGATTCACTATTTGTTTCATATTGTGAACTTACAAATTTGTTTCTATTTACTAGATTTTGAATTTGATGTCTTATTTTTGATATAATATGTAGTTCAGACGAAGCAATGGCTGATTCCATATCTGAGAGTGTTTTAGAGGATTATTATATTCCAAATTACATTCTTGTGGCTGGATCTGAGGCCACAAATGCTTCCCACATACCTGCTTGTCCAGTGATAGTGTTCATTAACTCCAGAAGTGGTGGTCAATTGGGTGGGGAACTTCTTGTCAGTTATCGTTCTCTTCTTAATGAAAACCAGGTAATTGAAGGACTGTACATGTGTGATTATGATTATGTTTGTTTTCAGTGGAATTGATGGTAGAGTTATCAAATTTCAGGTTTTTGATTTGGGAGAAAAGGCCCCTGATAAAGTGCTGCATGAACTTTATGCCAATTTAGAAAAGTTAAGGCAAGCTGGAGACATTTTGGCTGCTGAAATTCTGAAGAAATTGAGAATAATTGTGAGTACGCTTGTCCAGAAATATATAATATTCTGCCTACGGATATCAATAATGATTCTTACATAGTTTCCTTTCCATATGTCCTTGATTTGACCTTGATATCTTTGATGTCTTTAATGTGTGCTCACAAAATCAGGTTGCAGGGGGAGATGGCACAGCTGGCTGGCTTCTAGGAGTTGTTTCTGATCTTAAACTATCTCATCCACCTCCAATTGCTACAGTGCCATTAGGAACTGGAAACAACCTCCCGTTCGCATTTGGTTGGGTAGATTATATGTTTACCTGTCTCTTGTAGCTGAACTTAGAGAATGCCAATCTTATAACGGATTTCTGTCTTGATATTAATATCTTATTACCAGTTTAGCACGATTCTTATACCATGTATTTGGATAATTCTCAGGGAAAGAAAAATCCAAGCACAGACCGTCAGTCTGTGCTGTCATTCATGGAACAAGTAAAGAATGCAAAAGAAATGAAAATCGACAGGCAATGCATCCATGATGGCTTATACTATATACCACTAAAGTTACTTATTCATGGCATCACCACTAAGCAATCTAGTGGGACTAGACATTTCTCTGTATTCATAGATAGTTATATTTTCCCTCCTCGTGGTTAAATAGGGAAATCTATATTTTTCTCTGTCCGAATTTTACTTTATTTTCTGTTTACCAATCATATATTTTTTTAAATCAAATTTCAGCTGGCATATCCTAATGAGAATGAGGATTCCTAAACAAGGACCTTGTGATCCCATTGCACCTCTTGAATTACCCCATTCTTTGCATGCATTTGATCGCGTCTCTGAAAAAGATACTCTGAATGTGGTAAGTCTTTTGTTTTCTTTTTACTACTATTATTATTATTATTTTGTGTTTTTTTACATGGTTTATGCGAATCTGACATTGCTGGCTTACTGTTAAATGTTTTGTTGAATGTCTCAGGAGGGTTGCCACACATTTCGTGGGGGATTTTGGAACTACTTCAGCATGGGTAAGAAATACGAAATTTAATTTCTATAATCATATGAAGGTGATCCATTAATGATGTTTGAAAGGAAAGTTTAATAGTGTTTGGTGGCAACCAGTTCTTATTAAATAACTGTAGCTGCTCAGTTTGTTGACCTATAAGTTTTTCTTATAAAGGAATGGATGCTCAAGTGTCATATGCATTTCATTCTGAGAGGAAATTACACCCAGAAAAATTCCAAAACCAGTTAGTTAATCAGGTATCAATATCTTTACCATTTAGACTTCAGAAAGAATAGTAAAAAGTTGCTTGATCTTAAATTACACTACTATGTTAGTTCAAAATATTTCTTTCATAGGTCCATCTGAAGAGTAATTTAAGTTGTTAAGTTGTGCGAATACATGTTATCACATCTTTCTATAACAAGGGTCTCTCTTTTGTTCATTTTTATTGTATTTTCTCTTTGAGTTTGGCTCTGCTCCCTGTTAATTAAAATTGAATAGTATAGCTTTACTTGCTTTCAAATTAACTTATGGATCACTACACTAATTTGAATTTTAATGTTATACTTGTGTTCTGAATCATTTCATACAAAGTCAGAATTTCAGATTTTTATGATACTTGTGTTCTGAATCATTTCATACAAAGTCAGAATTTCAGACTTTTATGAGCTGTGCTTTACTTGTCTTGTCTTCAATTAAAACCTTGCGATAATTTTTCCAACTGCTGACCTTTCTTTTCTGTGGAGCAGAGTACTTATTTGAAGCTTGCTGGAACTCAAGGATCTTTTGCTTCTCTTTCGCAGCCTTCTTCACAATCACGGTGAGTCAATCAATTAATGAGTTCATTACTTCTTATAAGATATATTAATTGTTTAGTAGTCGAGTCTATTGAGAAGAACATGCCTGATGGCAGCTTGATACAGTGATCGATGCCCTCTCGGCTTAAGTATTTTGATCATGATTATTTGGAATAGATAAAATTGGTGATACCGTATAACATTATAACCCTGAGCAGCTTTTAACTTCTGAGCACATTGAAATTTGTTGGTTCGGTTTCTGGCAAAGTGTTTCTGGTGACATTCTGTTTTCTGTATATATTTGTATTTGGCACACTACATTATCAGTTGAAGATAAAATATATATTTTTGGTTTTTCTGGTTTCTTTTCATATGTTGTTCATTTGCCTAAACTTCTTGAGGCTAATGGTTTTATTTATTGTTCAAGTTACTGGACTTCTGTTTGGTTTTCAATGTTTCTAAGAGTGGCTTGATTTCAATACAGGAACATAGCACAGCTAGCAAAAGTTAAAATCATGAAAAAGCAAGGTGTATGGGAGGACCTCGACATACCTCGCAGGTGAGGTTATATGTTCCGATATTTCAGTTTTTACTGATCCAACTGAGTCAGATTGGATATGCTGAGTAGAGTGATAAAGAACAGGAACGCATTAAACTGTTGAATGTCTTATGTTGTTTCTTGTCACTAACTAGTACATTTACATATGATTTCTCATTTCTGTCAATTTTCACTCCCCAGTTCACCAACACTTTTGTCTTTTGACATACAGCATTAGGTCTATTGTTTGCCTAAACTTGCCCAGTTTTTCTGGTGGACTTGATCCTTGGGGAAAACCATTAAGGAAGAAAATACGGGAGGTTAGTTCTGAATTTTAATATAACTTCTTCGGGTTATGAAGTGAAAACACATTTTCACCAATTAGTTACTAATTCTCTACAATTTTGATTTCTAGAGCGGCTTGACTCCTCCATATGTAGATGATGGCCTTATTGAGATCGTCGGTTTTAGAGATGCTTGGCATGGACTTGTTTTGCTTGCTCCAAATGGACATGGGACTCGTCTTGCTCAGGTAGGAGATAAATCATATTTTTGTTTTCAACTCATAATGCTTAAATTTTTCCTTGAATTGTTACCAGTTCTATGCTACACAATATGTAATGTGCAGAAATTTTAATTAGCTTGTTTCTATCTTGGCTCTAATTTTTATTTTTCATTGTTGTATGCAGGCAAACAGAATCTGTTTTGAGTTTCAAAAGGGTGCTGCTGACCATACATTCATGAGAATCGATGGTGAGCCATGGAAACAACCTCTCCCAGTGGATGATGACAATGTAGTTGTGGAAATTTCTCACCTAGGCCAAGTGAGCATGCTTGCCGTCCCAGGTTGCCGGTCCAAAAGCATAAATGACCTCTCACCTGCCAGTTTCCCAGATGAAGAAACCGATAGTGTTGAAGATGAATATGACGAAGATGGGGAAGAACAGAGGAAGTTTGGTGCTGCTGACACATTTAAAATTCCAGATGAGATTGATATAGCTCATCTCAGTTGAATGTTCACTAACAAAATATGCAGAAAGGACTAAGATTTATTTTCTGTCATTCTGAACAGAGTTGAATGTCTGTGTTGCATTGATGATACCGATACTCAGGATTCAAGAATGTGAAGTACGATTCCTTAAAGCAGAATAACTTATGCTATGTTCAACATCTCTGCAATAAAAAAACTCCATCTAGTGCACAGCTTCCAAATCTTGAGGAACTTTACTTGGGGCATAATAATTTCAGTGGGACATTTCCCAGTTTCATTACAAATTCTTCTAAGCTCTTTAAACTAGAGATGGGAAGGAACTCATTCTCAGGCTTCATTCCTAGTGCAATTGGTAATTTAAAATATCTTGAGTGGCTAGCCTTATGTGATAAATACTTAACATATTCTACTCCGAGGTTTTTTCCCATTTTTACAAATTGCAAGAATTTAAGACATCTAGACTTAGCCGGGAATCCAGAAAATAGCATCCTTCAAGTGCCATAGGTAATGTTTCTATTTCCTTGGAATATGTTCACTTGAAAGATTGCATTAATCAACTTGATAGAAATACACTTAGAAGGTAATGAATTGACTGGATCAATTCCAATTACATGCACTTGGTGGACTAGAGAAACTCCAAGGTTTTTATCTTTGAGATAATAAACTAGGACTTACCCCAAATGATCTTTGTTATTTGAATATATTGGTTGAGTTGCGATTGGATGGTAACAAGATAAATAGATCCATACCTGGATGCTTAGGAATCTCACTACACTGAGACAAATGTCTTTACGTTTCAATAGGTTAACTTCTTTTGTACGTTCAACTTTGTGGAACCTTCAGGATATCTTGTTCATTGATTTGTCGTCAAATTCTCTAAAGGGATATCTTTCATTAGACAGTGGCAATCTTAAGGTTGCCATATATATAAATTTGTCAAGGACTCATTTTTCAAGAAATATTCCAATCGTTATGGGTAGCTTAGAAAATCTACAAAATCTCTCTTTAGCATACAATAGATTATAAGGCTCAATTCCTAAAACATTTGGTCAGTTAAGAAGCTTGGAATATTTGGATTTGTCTAGTAACAATCTTTCTGGATTGATTCCCAAGTCATTAGAGTCACTATTGTTCCTCAAATATCTAAAATTATCATTCAACCAAGTGGTGAAATTCCTCGAGGAGGATATTTTGGAAAATTTTCAGCTGAATCATTTATGGGGAACCTAGCATTATGTAGTTCTCAAAAACTATAGGTTCTGCTGTGCATAACTAGCACATATGGAAAGTCAAGGGTAGAAAAGGTTGTCATGTCGATTGTTTTGCCACTAAGCATTACATTCACATTAGTTGACTTTGTTCTTATATTTGTGTTTATCAAATGCCGGAGAAAGAAAACAAGGCCACCGCCTAATGTTGACAACATGGAGAAGAATTTCTTAGCATGAACTTTCAAGAGCTGTTGGTTCAGATGGTTCAACTGGTGAATGATAAAGGAGAGAGATTTTTCAATGGAAAGGGACGGCAGCAACTGTAAATGAGTGCTCTCTATTTTCATTCATAGAACATGGATAACATATATACAAAACAGTTCACTGTTCTTACCTTAACAACCAAATGCAGTGGATGAGATTTTACACATTTGAATTTAAAATAATCTTACAACAAAATATGTCTTAATCTCAACTAAACTCAACTAAACATGTCACAAAAACATCACAATAATGTACCAAATTCAGTAGCTTCAACCACTGCACCCTAACAGAAACTTGAGCACTTGGCTCCAAAAACTGTTTGAAACCTTAACTGAATATTTCTGCATTTCTAGTACATTATCACCATCTTCAACACTCCTTGATAATTTTGCTGCAACACCAAGTTTGAGTCTTAAATTCTCAAACTTGGCTTTAGATAAAGCCTTGGTCATAATGTTAGCCACTTGGTCTTCACCCCTGCAATGAATCAATTTAACTTCTCCATTACTTTTTGCCTCTCTCACAGCATAGAACTTGATTTTGATGTGCTTGGTTCTACCGTGTAAGATAGGATTTTTTGCCATTGCTATAGCTGACTGGTTGTCACAAAAAATCACAGTTGGATCCTTCTGACTTTGCTTCAAATCCACCAAAATTTTCCTAAGCCATATGGTTTGGTTTACGAAAGCAACATCAGAAATGTATTTTGCTTCTGTTGTGGACTGAGCTATGGTGTCTTGTTTTTTGTATAGCCAACATATGGCTCCCGTATTCAAGAAGAAGACATAGCCTGAAGTACTTCTCATATCATCAATGCATTCAACCCAATCACTATCAAAATACCCAACAACCTGAAGGTTTTTAGACTTCTTAAACCATACACCAAAATCAGAACTTCCTTTAATGTACCCCAGCACCCTCTTGGCTGCCTTGAGATGAACTTCACTCGGGTTGCTCATGAACCTGGAGAGAAGGCTAGTTGCAAACATTAAGTCAAGCCTGGTGGTAGTCAAGTACAATAGACAACCAATCAAACTTCTATAAATTCCTTTATCAATCTTCACAGCCCCATCATCTTTGCTCAGCTTCAAATTTACAACCAGTGGAGTGTCCACTGGTCTGCACCTGTCCATGTTAAACTTGTTTAGGATTTCATTATCATATTTTCTTTGGCTAACAAATATCCCATGTTGAGTTTGGTTGATCTCCATTCCAAGGAAATAAAACATTTCCCCTATATCAGTCATTTCAAACTCATTGTGCATTGCCTTCTTAAACTCTTCCAGTTGAATTGGACTGCTTCCCATGATGAGTAAATCATCTACATATAATGATACAATAACGAACTCCCTTTCCAACTCTCTCACATACAATGTGTGCTCATTTGGGCTCCTCATATATCCCAAGCTAATCAAATGATCATTGATTCTACTATACCAGGCTATAGGGGCCTGCTTTAGGCCATATAATGCCTTCCTCAACAGATAAACTTTGTTCTTTTGCCCTTCCACTTCATATCCCTCCGGTTGCTCCACATAAATTTCTTTATTGAGCCAACCATTTAGGAATGCAGACTTGACATCTAACTGATAGATTCTCCATTCAAATTAGGCCGCTAAAGCAAGGAGAAGCCTAATTGTATCATGCCTGGCCACGGGTGCAAATGTATCTGAGAAGTCTACTCCAAATTGCTGAGCAAACCCCTTGACAACAACCTTGCTTTATGTCTATAAACTAATCCATCAGGTTTTAATTTTCTTTTGTAAATCCATTTAACTTGGATTATCTTTCTGGTTGCAAGTCTATCTACCAATTTCTAGGTGCCATTCTTTTCTATCATGTTTAACTTCTCCTCCATTGCATCCTCCAAATAACTGACTTAGCAGCTTCTTTGTAGTTTGCAAGTTCAAGTAAGGCTGCATTACTCCTTTTATAAACCTTTACCAGAGGTCTGGTACCTCTAACTGGAATGTCATCATCAGAATCTGTCTCCTCTTGATCATCATTTCTGCTCACTGTTGGATCTATCAACTGCCCCCTTGAGTCTTATTCAATCTCATTTTTCTCCCAGTTCCAGACACCATTTTCATCTACTTTCACATCTCTAGTGATGTGAATTTTCTTAGTTTCTAGAACATAGACTTCATAGGCCTTGGACTGCTCACTATAGCCAATGAAGATTCCTACCATGGCTTTGTCATCCAACTTGCTTCTCCTAACTATTGGGATGAGTGCATAGCATATACTTCCAAAGATTCTCAGATTTTCAATCGTAGGCTTCACTCCATACCAAGCCTCATAGAGTTTGATTAACCAAGGCCTTCGTGGGAAGTCTATTGAGCAAATAGACCCCTGTGTTCACTGCCTCTGCCCAAAAGGACTTGGGCAACTTCTTCTCAGCAATTATGAACCTAGCCATCTCCATAACAGTCTTATTTTTTCTCTCATTGACTCTATTTTGCTGTGAAGTATAGGGACTACTAAATTGATGCATAATTCCAACCTGCCTACAAATTGATTCAAACTCATTTGAAGTGTACTCACTCCCATTATCACTTCTTACTGTTTTGATACACAGTTTGGTTTTCAACTTGCAGCTTGAATCTTCCAAACATAACTCCAACTTCATTCTTTTGTTTCAAAAAATAGACCTAACACATCCTGGTCCAATCATCAATGAACAAGACAAAATACTTGCTCCCATTTAGTGAAGGTGTCTTTATAAGTCCACACACATCTGTGTGGATAAGTTGGAGCTTTTCAGTAGCTCTCCAAGCTTTGTTCCCAAGAAATGGCTGTCTACTCATCTTGCCAAGTTGACAAGTAGCACATACAACCTTAGCTTCTTCGATTTCTGGTAGGTTATGGACAAGATTTTTGGTATGAATTTCGTTAAGACCATGATAGTTGAAATGGCCAAATCTATTGTGCCATAACTCAGACTCATTTACTTTAGTAGTATAGGCTTTAGGTTCTAGTTTTTTTAGCTTAATAGGGAAGCTTTTTCCCATCATTTTACCCGTCATTAGTTCATTGCCTTCACTGCCTAGAATTGTGCAGGACTGGTCCTGGAAATGCAGGACATAATTCCTTTCTAACATTTGTCCTACACTAAGTAAATTATGACTTATATCTAGCACATACAAGACATTAGGGATCAGTTTAATGACCTTGTCTGGACAGCAACATCTCCTTTCCCTTTGACATCCACAAACTCTCCATTTTCAACTTTAATTTTGGAATAACCATTGTCTATCTGCGATGCATCATTGTAAACTTGAGCTGCACAGCAAGATGGCACGAACAATTGCTCAGATTTTGAATTTGGCTACTGATCTTCAACAATTTGGGCTTGCTGTGGTGGCTGGTTTGGTTTGTTTTTGCACACTTTTTCAATGTGGCCATATTGCTTACATGCTCTACATTAGAGATTTGGTCTGTACCATTACCTTTTTTTCGAAGTGGCCCTTCTTCTTCTAGTGAGAACACGGTGGAAACTCCTTCATTCCACCTGATTTGTTCCATTGGTTACTTGTTTTCTCCTTCCCTTTCTTATCTCCAGCAGACCTTTTACTTCCTCCTTGACTAGGTTTGCCTTTAAAGCCTGCGACCATTGCACCCTCACTTGAATCCTCTTGTCTCAACAATCTCCTTTGCTCTTAAGCTTTCAAAGCATGTACCAATTCAGTGAGTGTGATTTGAGATAGATCTTTAGAGTCCTCAAGTGAAGAAATCTTGGACTCAAGCCTCTTGGTAGGCTCACCAAAACTTTCTCCACAACTCTCTTGTCTATCATTTCCTCACCCAACAACCTGATTTTATTCACCACATTCATCAACCTATCTACATACTCCTTTACTAATTCTGATTGTTGCATCTTCAGCATCTCAAACTCCTTCCTTAAGTTCAATACATGCATATTCCTAGTTGTATCACTACCGCCAAACTCCTCCTTGAGCTTTTCCCATGCTTCCTTGTCTGTCTCATATGCCATGATTCTAGTAAAAACAAGTTCTGTTACAGCTGCATGGATATGAGACAAGCTCTAGGAGCTTTAGTAGCTTCCTTCTCATGCAGCCTGATCTGATTCAATGTGGGGTTTGGCCCCAATGCAGGTGGCTGCTTGTTCTCTTCAACATATTGCCATAAACCTTGTCCCCTCAGCAAGGTCTTCATTTTGATAGCCCACATGTGGTATTGCTCACCGTTGAAGATTGGAAGAGGAAGAGAAGCTGTGTATTGTGCCATTGTATCAAGCTGTTTGGAGTTTAACAAAGGTTTTACTATGTTGAGGAGTTGGATGAAAAGAGATCAATGTATCAAGCCCTTAAGATCAATTACGGCACTGATACCAATTGTTGGTTCAGATCGCTCAACTGGAGAGTGATAAAGGAGAGAGATTTTTCAATGGAAAGGGATGGCAGCAACTGTAAATGAGTGCTCTCTATTTTCATTCATAGAACATGGATAACATATATACAAAACAGTCCACTGTTCTTGCAGTGGATGAGATTTCACACATTTGAATTTAAAATAATCTGACAACAAAACATGTCTTAATCTCAACTAAACTCAACTAAACATGTCACAAAAACATCACAATAATGTACCAAATTCAGCAGCTTCAACCACTGCACCCTTATAGAAACTTGAGCACTTGACACCAAAAACTGTTAGAAACCTTAACTGAATAATTCTGCATTTCCAACAAATTATCACCATCTTCAACAAGAGCAACAAATGGATTCAGTGAAGCCAACCTACTTGGCAGAGGAAGTTATGGCTTAGTTTACATAGGAAGATTAGACGATGGGATGAAGCTTGTAGTAAAGGTATTCCACCTGCATTTTGAAGTAGCTCTTATGAGTTTTGAAGCTAGATGTGAAGTAATGAGAAGTATTCATCATCGAAATCTTATCAAAATCATCAGCAATTGTTCAAACGATGATTTTAAATCTTTGATACTAGAGTATATGTTTAGCGGGAGCATTGGGAAATGCTTGTAATATGAGAACAGTGTTATGGACATTTCACAAAGGTTGAACTTAATGATCGACATTGTATCAGCTTTGGAATATCTCCATTTTGGTTATTTAACGCCAATCATTCATTGTGACTTAAAGCCCAACAATATCTTGTTAGATGAAAATATGATTGCAGATTTGGCTGATTTTGGCACCGTGAAGCTTTTAGGTGAAGAAGACTCAATGACACAAACACAAACCCTTCCCACCATTGGTTATTTGGCTCGAGGTAATTGTTTCTAATTCAATATTTTTTTCATTAATTTTATTTGTTACTGACTCTTTTTCTCCTAGCAGAAAAAAAAAAAAAAAAAAAAAAAAAAAAAAAAAAAAAAAAAAAAACTTAATGATTTGTATATCACTATCAGAACATGGAAGGGAAGGAAGAATATCTAGAAAAAGGAGATTTGTACAGATACGGGATTATGCTTATGAAAACATTTACAAGGAAGAAGCCAACAGATGAAATATTTACTAAAGAAATGAGCTTAAGGAATTGGGTTGGGGAATCAATAAATAGTACATTGATGAAAGTTGTAGACACAAATTTGCTAAGAAGGGATGATGAACATTTTTCTAGCAAGAAGGAATGTGTTTCATCTATCTTGAGTTTGGCTATGGAGTGTACAAGAGAATCCCGTAGGAGAGGATCTACGTCAAAGAAGTGGTACCAAGACTCTTGAAAAGTAGAGTCAAATTTACAAATGGGACAACGTCAAGAGGCAGAAGGGTTTCAAATTAAGGCTAATTTTCGTTTCCTTTTCTCAGGAGATAGTTCTTTCTCTTGCTAATTTCACTCTATATTGGCCAAAGTTGTTTAGCCTTTTCTTATATCCTTTTAGATATTTAAATCTATATCATTTGATTTCCAATTTGTTGTTGTGTTATAGGCCCTTTTCTAAGCAATATTCCTTTTAATCAATATCTTCTCTAATGGCCTCTTTTATTACTAGTAGCTTTGAGGGAGGAAATCAATCTAAACACTAAATTAAAGCAAGAGATGAATATTAGCTTCGAGAGAGGAAATCTTATCATTAAAATTATTTCAATTAGCTATAAATATTGACTTTGTAGCTGTAAATATGTATTTACTACAGTTTTCCTTTCTATAACAAATTTTCGTAGCTATATATTTATAATGTTGTAGTGAATCTTGACTAGCTTTGATTTTATTAAAAAAAAAAAAAAAAAAAATGGTGCTTTCACAACATTGCAGCCAAAGCGATAGTGATAGACTTTGGTTTGGTCAAGTTTAAGTGTTTAACTGATTGATTGATTCAAAAATTAAAATAAATAAGAGTTTTGTTGAAATGTGAACATTTTTTGGTAATTGATGAAAATCTTGCTAAAGAAGAAGAGGCAAACAAAAAGAAAAATGAATTTCAGTTAAAGGAAAATTTCTGTTTAGAAATTTATAGTAGAGAATATTTGATTTTTCTTTTACTATGAGTTGTATTAGAAAAGAAGAATTGGTTTAAGACTTTATTTTGAGTTAAAATAGAAGAATAAATTAAATTAAAGGAATCCTATTAGGATTAGAAATATGAATCATAGTATAAAAAACGAATGTCTTATTCTACCTAAAAATAGAGTGCTTGGCATCAATTCAAAGCTACGAGAGAAGTAACAACTAACAAAAAAAGAGAGAATATGAGAAACACAAGATGTGAGAAGTGGTATTAAATACCATAGAAAGATGCTGTATTGATAAAACACTAGTATTGTGTTATTAAAATTATAGTGAAACCATCTAATCTGTCGATGTAAACAGTTTATGTCGAACCAAGTAAATATCGTATTTACGTGTATGTGATATTTTATGCGTGTTGTTGTTCTTTATTTTAATTTTTTTTTTCAACCAATTTCTAACAAGTTTGATGTGACATTTCATTGAAAAGATCAAATATACATTAAATGTTATAGAAGCTTGGGGGGGACCAAGATAGGAATTTGTATTACCGTGCATTTAATTATTACCTAAAAATGTGAAAGTTATTTAAAAGCTCCAACGATAATCTATGGTCCACCCCTCTAAATATCTCGATATTTTTACAATGTACTCAAATGATAATGTAATCTTCAACCCCACTTATAAAGACTTTCTCCTTCAATCACAATCCCTGTTGACTCGTCATAAATGCGACGAGGCTCTCTAACTAATAGGAAAATTTCAAAATTTTAGATATTTCTAGCACCATCGGCGTAGATGAGGCTGTCCACCCAGCTCTATATATCACTTGTGAGTGCTTGACCTATGGCTATATACCAATTATCTTGGCCTCCCATGGAGAAATATCTTTCTCTTTGCATTTTATTCATCGCTTTCACTGTTCAATTTTCGACATTTTCCTTTGTCAGTGCAAAACGAACCAACATTTTCACAGACGAACAAGCTCTTCTTGCACTCAAAGCTCATATAACCCATGATCCTACCAATTTTTTGGCCAGTAATTGGTCCGCAAGCACCTCTATTTGTGAATGGAGTGGCATCACTTGTGGTGCCCGTCACCATAGAGTCACAGCTTTGGATATTTCTTACTTGAATCTTACTGGCACCATTCCTCCTCAACTAGGAAATCTACCTTTCCTTTCATTTCTATCCATCAGAAACAATAGCTTTCATGGCACTCTCCCTGATGAGTTGGCTCAGTTACGTCGACTCGAATACCTTGATTTCAGTTTCAATAACTTCATCAATTTAGAGATCCCATCATGGTTTGGGTCCTTAACCAAACTTCGAATCTTGAGTTTGAATGAAATAACATTTTCAGGGACTATCCCTCAATCCTTAGGCAATCTGTCTTCATTGCAAGAACTTATTCTTGATTATAATGAGCTTTCAGGTTCCATTCCCACCTTCATCTTCAACATATCTTCACTGCAAACACTTAGTATATATGGTAACCAACTCTCAGGTTCCTTCCCTTCCATCATTTTCACCATGCCTTCGTTGATATCTACTGACTTAAGTCATAATGGATTATCTGGTGGACTCGATCTCTCCAACCATTTTTGAGTATCTTCCTAATTTGGAAGTGCTTTATTTGTATGATAACACGTTTGTTGGTGAAATACCATCCACTTTATCAAAATGCAGACATTTGCAACATTTATCCTTGGCGAACAATCGTTTAACAGGAGTCATACCAAAAGAAATCGGAAATTTGACTCGACTTAAGTCGTTATTTCTTGGCCTCAATAGTCTCCAAGGTACATATAGATACTTCTTTATAAAAATTCTTCTTTATAAAATATAACTGCAATATATATGGCTATTAAATCCTTTTCAAATATTTTTAACATGAAACTAACAATATAGGAATTTAATAGAATAATGAAATAAAAATATGTAAGTAATTAAGTAGAATATTCTTCATCATCAGTGTTCCTTTCTTCCCAAATATAGATTTTGTCAGCATTAGCTTGTATCTCAAAATTCATATTTTTAACCTTTATTTGCTTCAATCTAACCATTGTGATTTTGTAGGAAACATTCCACAGGAGTTGGGAAATCTTGCACAACTGAGGAGTTTTTCACTTGTATCTAATCATCTCATCACTGGTACATCTTGTTAGCATACAACCACTCTGTTCTTAACCGTTAATTAACTTCAAAACCATGGGGGTACCACGTCACTCATAGCACCTACCAATGTATGTACACCACCTATGAATTTTTTTTTCTCCTGAATCTTTATCATTAAAGTGATTGGAAGTTATCAATTTAAAAATCTTTGTGCAGCAATATATTGGTTGGTGGTATGGGTGATATGTTACCCTTGTGGTACTATAGATATTCTCGTGATCATTTTACGAGTAATTAACACGAACTTCACAATTTACTACAAATCTAATAGAGTTAAAAAGTATATCCTTTTTGTTTTGTTATTTCACAGGAGTCATACCAAAAAATATTCTAAACTTGACTCGGCTTCAGATGTTTTCTCTATACCAAAATAAAATCCAAGGTATGATATATGCAAGCGTGAGGCTACATATAAAATTTTAAATCTTTGTTGCACAAAATTGCAACTTCATTTATATGTCAGAATCGTGACTCTTCTTCCACCTCAGTAATTTGTTTTTCCTTTGCTTTAATCTTGTTTTGCTAAATGAAATGACATCTATCAATTATTTTACAGGAGTCATACCAAAAGAAATCGGAAATTTGACTGAGCTTAAGGGGATGCATTTTGGCTACAATCAACTACAAGGTATGATGTACTCAACCTTGACTTACTATAGCTGTTTGATATGATTTGAACATTACTTAATCTCATGAATTAAGGCATTAAAATTTTTTCAAGTCTCACAATTAAAGTTGTTTTATGATTAAACGAAGAAAAGTTAGCCTTATTACGATGCATCTTCTTTTTCCAGTAATCTCATTATACAATTGATGAGCTCTCATATTTTTAGGTGAGATGCCACATGAAATCGGTGATCTTCATAATCTAGAGGAGTTGGGACTCTCATGGAACAACCTAGTTGGACCTATTCCAACCACCATCTTCAACATCTCAACAATTAAAATAATTGGAATTGCAGGAAATAAACTCTCAGGAATTCTTCCATCTAATACTAAAGTTCCAAATCTTGAGCGTCTTACAATGGGATCTAATGATTTTAGTGGGCCATTTCCAAGCTTCATCAGCAATGCTTCCAAGCTTTCAATGCTAGATATTTCAAGTAATTCATTCACAGGCTTCATTCCTAGTACAATTGGTAATTTAAGAAACCTTGAGTGGCTTGTCTTGGCGGACAATTACTTGACATCACCCACTCCAAATTTGGGCATTTTTTCTTCTTTGGCAAATTGCAAGAATTTAAAACATTTAGAGTTATCATCAATTCCATTCAATAGCATCCTTCCAAGTTCCATAGGAAATCTTTCTATTTCCTTGGAAAATGTTTACATGAATGATTGCAATATTAGTGGCAACATTCCAAAAGAGATAGAAAACTTAAACCACCTGATAGAAATCCAACTTGAAAGCAATGAATTGACTGGACCTATTCCAACTACACTAGGTGGACTACAAAAACTCCAAGGTTTGAATCTTAGAGATAACAAAATTAGAAGGATCCATACCAGATCATCTTTGTCGTTTGATTAAATTAGTTGAGTTGCAACTAGATGGTAACAACATTTATGGATCTATACCTGCATGCTTAGGTAATCTCACTACACTAAGAAAACTATCATTGGCCTCTAATAGGTTAACCTCTGTCATACCCTCAACTTTGTGGCAGCTTAAGGACATCTTGTACTTTAATTTGTCATCAAATTTTCTAAACGGATCTCTCCCATTAGAAATTGAAAGTCTGGAAGTTGTAGTAGCTATAGATTTGTCAAGGAATCATTTGTCAGGCAATATTCCAACTGATATTGGAAGCCTAAAAAATCTAAAGAATCTCTCCTTAGGATATAATAGATTTGAAGGCTTGATTCCTGAATCAATTGGTGACATGACAAGCTTGAATTTCTTGGATCTGTCTAATAACAATCTCTTTGGAGTTATTCCCAAGTCTTTAGAGAAACTCTCATACCTCTTATATCTAAATTTGTCTTTCAACCAACTAAGTGGTGAAATTCCTATTGGAGGAACTTTCAGAAACTTCTCGGTTGAATCATTTAAGGGGAATCTTGCATTGTGTGGATCTCCACAATTACAACTTCCACAATGCCAAACAAGCACACATCGAAAATCAAGGACAAAAAAGGTTTTGCTATTGATTGTTTTGCCACTAAGCATTGTAGTCACAATGGTTGTCCTGGTTCTTACATTTGTGTTGACCAAAGGCCGAAAGAAGAGCAAAAAGCCTCCTACTAATGCTGAAGTGTATCCACAACATACATGGAGAAGAATTTCTTACCAAGAACTAGTTAGAGCTACAGATGGATTTAGTGAGAGCAACCTACTTGGCAGAGGAAGCTATGGTTCCGTTTACAGAGGAAGATTAGATGATGGGATGGAGCTTGCGGTAAAGGTATTCCACCTACATTTTGAAGGTGCACTCACCAGTTTTGAAGCAGAATGTGAAGTTCTTACCAGTATTCGACATCAAAATCTTGTTAAAATCATTAGTAGTTGCTCAAATGATGATTTTAAATCTTTGATACTCGAGTACATGCCCAATGGGAGCCTGGAGAAATGTTTGTATTCTGACAACTGCATTTTGGACATTTCACATAGGTTGAACATAATGATAGATGTTGCATCTGCTTTGGAATATCTCCATTTCAGTTATTCAGCCCCCATTGTGCACTGTGACTTAAAGCCCAACAACGTCTTGCTAGATGAAAATATGGTTGCACATTTGAGCGATTTTGGAATTTCAAAGATCTTAAGTGAAGAAGACTCTATGATGCAAACGCAAACCCTTGCTACCATTGGTTATATGGCACCAGGTAATTAGTTTTTTCATACTCTATATTTGTTTTTCTTGCTAAATTTACTTTGTTATTCATTATTATTTTTCTTGTAAAAAGACACATTAATTTATCTAACAATGATATGACATGCAATCATGATAAACAGAGTATGGAAGAGAAGGAAAAGTATCGCGAAAGGGAGATGTTTACAGCTTTGGTATTATGCTAATGGAAACATTTACAAGAAAGAAACCAACAGATGAAATATTTAGTGAGGAAATGAGCTTAAGGAGTTGGGTTGGTGAATCATTATGTAGTGCAGTGATGAAAGTTGTGGATAGCAATTTGGTAAGTAGGGATGATGAAAGTTTCTCTAGAAAGGAGGAATGTTTATCATCAATCTTGAGTTTGGCAATGGAGTGTACAAGAGAATCACCTGGGGAGAGGATCAACATTAGAGAAGTGGTATCTAAACTCTTGAAAATTAGAGTCAATTATCTTACCGGTATGGCAACCACAAGAGGTAGAATGCTATATATCAAATTTGAGTTAATTTCCTTTTCCTTTTAATTACATATGGATTGTTTTCAATTTTGCAGAGAGGAACAAAAATGTGCTTGCTAGACAACAACCCATTGATTGAAGGGCTCAGCTTCAGCAGAATATGGGTAAACTTAATAAAGGTACCCGTAATTATCTTATAGTTTTGTTAGACCTTAATATACTGAAGATAAACTTCAGGGGTTTGAATTTCCCATATCATATTTATGAAGATGAATTAATTATTAATATTTCATTGATCGAACCAGTTGCAAGTAATATTATAATGACTAGTGGCTGTTTACGTGGAATTGAAGTAGAACAGTCCTATCAAATGAATTAGTAAACTTGTAACTGAGCCATAAGCTTCTGTTTTTTGTTTAGCGAAAAAGTGGCTGACAATAACTGCTTTTAATTTGCAGGGACAAGTGGATTAGGTTACTAGCCAACGACCCATGGATCGAAGGACCGGAGTTTCCGTGATTTAAATTTGATTCTGATAACCTTCGAAACCTTTTGGACCTTTGGGTAATGGAGATAAACTTTACGGGCTTTTGTAAATCGTTGCCAACAGCAACATAAGTTTTTTATTTATATATTTTAAAAGAAGTAATGTTCAAGAGTTGTAATTCTCTTTTCCCTTCTGGAATGATCAAACCCAGCGGCTATTGGCCCAAGGTTTTCCAAGACATGTATAGTTTTTATTTTTTTAATTCCATAATTATACCAATGTTTTTCAGGGGTACTCTATCTATGTCATGGAATATAGGATATGTGCATACAAGTTTTCTCTTAAGTTGCGATGATTTTTATGCTCACTTAAACAAGCAGTAGAATCTATTAGCCTTGTATTCAAGTTCAGATTCTCTTTTGCAGTCCAAGGAATTGTGACCAAAGGTGTAGCTGTAGAGAACAACGACCAGCACAATTTTTTGTCCTTTCATTTTGTCTTCTTAAGGTGAGAGAATTCATTAAGGTGATAAAGGTAAGAGATTTGTAACATAATCGACGAAGGCGCCAGAGGAAGTGGTAGAAAGTCGTGTTTTAGGGATAATCATCCCTTTTAATTATGTAAATATTAAGTTAGTGCATTAAATAATATAAAAAGACTTGAAGAGATCAATCATTTCTTTTAATTATTTAAATATTTTATTTATTGTGCCGTTTTTTCTTTTTTTTTTTTGGATGAATATTACTGTTATACTACTTAATGTACAAAGAAGAGATAATACACGGACAATATAGAAAGAAGAGATAATATAAAAATACAAGTCTCTCCTTACGTAGCTCACAAAAGGTTAAAATCCTTTATTAACTATCCAATATCAGACTACAAAAATTGCCCACTATTATAGTTTACAGGGTTTTGAGATTTTTCTATAATGATTAGAAAATACAAACTCTTTCTTTGTTGAATACAACTTTACATGAGAAGATCATGTTGCAATATGAACATTTTTTGATAATTGATGAAGATATTCGTGAAGAAGAAAAATCAAGCAAGAAGAAGCAAAGGCTGAAGAACTTTGGAAAAATTCCAGAGACGGCTTCGCAACGATGAGGAAAAGGTTTCGCCGCAACCCGATTGAAGATTGAAGTTGTCCAGAAGTTTGCTGTCGCGTTGAGGAAAACTTCTTGACGCTGCGCGATGACAAATGGACAAGGAAACGTGAAAGCTACAACGCCTACTGCGGCATCCCTTTGTTGCAGCACATATGCGAAATTCAAGCGTTTTATTTTTAGGTAAATTCCTATCTTACAAGTTTGAATATTTGTTTTCCTTTTCCTATTGTGAGCTGAAAAAGGAAAGCAGAATTGGTTTAAAACTTTACTTTGAGTTAAAGTAAGAGAACGAAATTAAAATATGAGAGTCCTATTAGGAATAGAAATATGAATCATATATATCCCATATACTACCTATAAATATAGGGGTGAGAACCAATTCATGAGAGAATGAGAAAAAAAGTGTAAGAACACAAGGATTTTGATATAAGTGTTATTAGACACCATAAGGTAAAGTGTCCTAGAAATTAGGATTGTTCCCACCTTTTCTACTAGGTTGATGGTGTTATGTACTCTTGAATATTGTGTTTATAAAATTATATTGAAATTCTCTAAGCTGTGGATATAAACAAGTTATGACAAATCACGTAAATATCATGTTTATGTGTGTGTGTGTGTCTGATATTCTTTGCATATTGTTGTTCATTATTTTATTTTTACTCCTTCAATTTCTAACAGATCATCACTTAAATTAGGATAGAAATAACAATTTGACAAAACTTAGAAATGAAAGAAATAGATATGAGCTTGCTAGACAACATCCCATGGCTCGAAGAAGTTGAATTTCAATAACATTATGTGAAGATGAAGGATCATGAATGTGGAGGAGCTTTGAAGTAAATGCAATTAAATAGAGTTAGAAATTTTGTAAATAGTTAGTCCATAACTTCTGATTTCTATAAGCACTTGAATGGTAGATCTATGAGCTTTGTGATGAAATATGGAATGCTGAAGATATTCATGTTGGAATCAAGTTATTACTGATATAGTACTTATTCGGTTAAATGCTGTGATATTTTGTAATTAAGACTTTATTTTATTTCTATTATTGTAGTTTTGTATTTCCTTTATTATACTCACAACCATAGTATAAATTGGCTTTTGTACACGTTACAAATACATTCTTCAGCACCATTTTAGCTAATTTTGTCAAGGATTCTTTCTGTTGGCATTCTTTGGTAGTACTGTGCCTCTCTTGCCTATGGTATCAGAGCATTTTTGCTTCCACCAAAATCCTCTCTAAGCCTTTGTTTTCCTGAACCTGCAAAACAAAGCAGTAAGATTAGATTGTCTTTCCTTACAATGAAACCAAACACCACCTTTTAGCCAATAATGGATCAAACCAAAACAACAATAGCACCATATTCAAAGTCTACAGCCACCAATCACAAACCCAAATGACCAAACAAGCCCACATTACTCAACTGGCCCAACTTCCCGAACAAGCCCAACAACCAAACTAACCAAGCCCACCAAACTGGCCCATACCAACAAACTTGATCCAAGTACCAAACTGGCCTAATCCCTTTGGGGTTTATGGCTCAAAACTCTAACCTGACGGGACAAAATCGCTACCCAATTTTCTAGATCCTTCTAGCCACCACCAATCGATCGGAACCAGGGGATGCTCTTTTCTCGTCGGTTTCTAATGGATCTAAGCTTGTGCTCGTCAAACAACCCCTGGCTGGATCTCAAAACTATGCCACTTGGGCTAGAGACTTCTGGCGAGCCCTAATAACCAAAAATAAGGAAGGGTTCAACGATGGAACCCTTCCTCAAACTACTGAACCACAACTTCACCAACACTGGACTTGGTGCAACACCTTTGTTCGTGCCTAGCTTAGCAACTCCTTGACTCAAGATGTTATTGCCAGCTTGCCTCTAAGAGAAAACACCCAAGAAATGTGGGTGAACATCCAAGAGATGTATGGTTAGTTAGACCTCACCAAGATTTTTACTTTACGTAAAAATCTTCTTGAAATCGAATAGCACAACTTGTCCATAACCACGTATTTCAATCACCTTTCAGCGATTTGGAATGAACTTGATGCTATTGAAGAACCATTTGAAGGGCCATCCGTGATCCTTCAACAGATCAAGCGCATTAAGGACAAAAATCAATTAATCCATTTTTTGATTGGTTTGAATGACAATTTCCTCCGTTTCGTATGCAAATGTTAGCCACCTCACTAACGCCATCTCTCTGGTGCACTTACCAGTTGGCAATGCAAGACGAAAGCCAGAGATCGGCTTTGTCTGATTCTCAATCTGCTACGAAGGCCATTACTTTTGCCTAACAATGACAACAGTTTGAGAGAATGAAGATCAAGAATGGCAATGGCAAGGGGGGCTAGGGCAAAATGGAGGAGAAAAGATGGTTTTATATGTGACAATGGATGGACCAGATCACTCAAACTCATCCAACGATTCAAAACCAAATGGATCACTAGGGCTCAGTAATGCACACAACCCAACTTTTGTAGCTGGCCCAAATTCAACAAAAATTGCTATTGCGATTACTACAAACAGATGAACCGCACATGGGACACATGTTAAAAATTACATGGCCGCCCCAAAACCACCGGTCTAGATTCGCCACTGCTAATCAAGTAAGTCAAACTGTCACTTTTGGAAATAATACTACGACCCTTATGTTTAGCCAAGAACAATATCAATAGATTTTGCAGATGCTCAACCAAACTCCACAAGCCAACACGACGTCTTACGCAAGTACATCCTTTTGTTTTAATATTATTAGAGGAAATATTTGGATAATTGATTCAGGGCCAGTGACGACATTATTTGCAATACCAAACACTTATCCCATACATCCACTATATCCTAATTGTCCTATTTGCCCTATTGAAAAGCAATCTCGCACTACATTTCCCAAACGCACAACCTCCACCACACGCATTTTTTCTTTAGTTCATATGAACATATGGGGTCCGTATCACACAGCCAATCACAATGGCTCTAGATTCTTTATTGATGACTTTTCTTGGGGAACCTGGATTTACCTCATGCAATCTAAAACGCAGACACTCACTCACATTAATTTTTTTTTTGTCCGTGGTCAGAACCCAGTTCGATCTTTTAGTTCAACGTATTCGAATTGATTATGCTTGGGATTTTTTAAAATTTAATACTCACTATTCCACCCTGTTTTCCTCTTTTGGTATTATCCATGAAAGCTCCTGTGTCTATACCCCTTAACAAAATGACATAGTTGAACAGAAACATAAAGATCTCCTAGAGGTTGCCCATGGCTTAAAACACCAATCCAACATCCCTATCACATTTTGGGGTGAATGTGTGATCACGGCCACCTACCTGATCCATCGGATGCCAAGTCGGGTCCTCCATGGTAAGACACCCTATGAGCTTCTCTTTGGCAAACCACCTACAGTTGCTCGTGTTCGAGTTTTTTGGTGTTTATGTTATTCTACTAATTTAGAAGAGAGGGGGAGAAGGGGGGGGGGGGGGGGGCGGCGACGGGGGAGGACAGATTTTCTTCTCGCGCTACTCAATGTGTATTTATGGGCTACCCAATGTATCAGAAAGGCTATCAATTATATGATCTCACCTTACCAAAATTCTTGGTTTCTAGAGATGTGATTTTTCATGAAGACTCATTTCCTTTTAAAGACAATTCCAATTCTTGCAATCACATTCAGGATTCTTCACCTTTTTTGGAAGATCCTTCAACAAACTCTCCATCAGGGCCCTGTTATACCATGTATCCCATTCATGATCTAGAACCCTCCAAATCAGACTCAGCACCAGCTCCCGCTTCCCCTGATTTTTCTCCAAAGATATTATACCAATCCATCTCCACCTTTGAACGATCCTCTTGTGGTTCCTATTCCTACTCAGAGACGATCCATACGGACT